GGGGATGAGATGGCATGGAAAGAGAATGGGGGCGGGGCAGGAGACTAGGGTTCCAATCCCATCTCTGCTCTTTCCTTGCTGGGCAACATGGGTGAGTCACTACGCTCTCTGAGCCTCAGCTCCCTCTTCCGTAACTCTAAGTAGCTGAGGATCCCTGTCTCTTTCTATGGCCGAGTGACTCTGAGAATATTTCCTGGCCTATAAAATCAGGATCTTGGGCTTCCCTGGTGGCGCAGTGGTTGAGAGTCCGCCTGCCAATGCAGGGGACACGGGTTCGTGCCCTGGTCCGGGAGTATCCCACATGCCGCGGAGCGGCTGGGCCCATGAGCCATGGCCGCTGAGCCTGCGCATCCGGAGCCTGTGCTCCGCAATGGGAGAGGCCACAACAGTGAGAGGCCGACGTACCGCAAAAAAATAATAATAAAAAATCAGGATCTTGATATCTACCCCTTATCAAAGGAAAGATCAGGGGACTTCCCTGGTGGCGCAGTGGTTAAGAATCCACCTGCCAATGCAGGGGACATGTTCGAGCCCTGGTCCGGGAAGATCCCGGGTGCTGCAGAGCAACTAAGCCCGTGCGCCACAACTACTAAGCCTGCGCTCTTAGCCCGTGAGCCACAACTAGTAAGCCTGTGCACCACAACTACTGAAGCCCGCGTGCCTAGAAGCCCATGCTCCGCAACAAGAGAAGCCTCAAAATAAGCCTGAATAAGCCCGCGCACCGCAACGAAGAGTAGTCTCCACTCACCACAACTAGAGAAAGCCCGCGCGCAGCAACGAAGACCCAATGCAGCCAAAAATAAATAAATTTGTTAAAAAAAAAAAAAAAAAAAAAGGAAAGATCAGTCCAACTTTCTAATCCCAACAAACAAGTCTGCTCTCTCTGGGGCCAAATACCTCTCCAGCCTCATCCCTGAGCACTCGCCCTCTCACCCCACCTCTATGCCTTCTCTCAGTCTGTTTCCCTTGCCTGGATTTCCCTTCCCTTTTCATGTCAACATCTGTGTGTCTTCCAATACTCAGCTTGAGTCTCATTTTCTCCAGGAAGCCTCCCCCTCCCCCCGCCCCCAGCTTTCCACCCACTGGCTGGGCCAGGTGCCAGTCCTCTGGGCTCCTGTAACATCATGGGCATCTGCTGTTCCTACCCGTAACAGTTATACTTAACAGCTGAGGTTTATTGAGCGCTTGCTAAGTGCCTGGACCTCCACCAGGCCCTTCACCCAGCATTATCTAGTTGAATCCTAACCATACATGTGAGGGAGGTGCTGTCTTCATCCCCATTTTCCTGATCAGGACACTGAGCTTGAAGGAGGGAAGGGTGAGTGTGAGGTGGGGATGTGAATCCAGGGCAGTGTTGCTCCAAAACCTATTCTAAGCTTCTGCATTCTCTCCATCTGCCCACCTCACCCCCTGATCACAGACCTGGTAGTCTCCTATTAAGGGATATGTCCTAGGCCTTCCTCTGACCTATGTACACCAGGAGTGCAGCGTCTTGCTCCCCTGTGTCTCCACCCCAAGCCCATCAGAGTCCCAGGAGAGGCTGAATCCGAATCTCACCTTTTTGGGTCCCTGCAATTGGGGCTTCCCTCCTTGTCCCTCAGTCTTCCTCACCCCTCCCTAAGTCTTGGGAGACCAAGAGGAGGCTGGATGTGCCAGGGCCCCTCCCTGGGCCTAGCTCAGTGTCCGCTTCCACTCAATGTCACATCCATGCCTGCCTAGGGTCATGTTCAATCCAGGTGAAAGGACGTCTACTTAGGTAGAGGTCATGCTGAAGTGTGCTAATGTGCCCAGGCTCCTGGTCAGCCCTCCTCAGGCTTTAGTCACTTGAGTTCTCACAATGAATTATGAGAATCAGAAACCTATAAGGGGGACTTCCCTGGTGGTCCAGTGGTTAAGACTTCGCCTTCCAATGCAGGGGGTGCGGGTTCGATCCCTGGTTGGGGAACTAAGATCCCATGTGCCTCGCAGCCAAAAAACCAAAATATAAAACAGAAGCAATATTGTAATAAATTCAATGAAGACTTTAAAAATGGTCCACGTCAAAAAGAAAAGAAAGAAACATATGAGGAAGAGAGGGGTATGATTTTTATTTCACAGATGAAGAAAACCAAGGCTTGGCTGATGTCCCAAAGCAAGTGGGTAGAGCCACAAGTGATCCAGGGTTGTCTGATCTCAAAGCCCTGTAGTTCCCCAAGCGCCTCCCTCCTGTTCCAGACAGGGCCATGGCGTGAAAATCCCCAGAGGATGAGAACTGTGATTCATTTCTGCATCCGCAATGGGCCAGTGGCTACATCCAAGGCACCAGGAGGCTGGTTGTGAAAGTCTGGGCTGGGCAGGCTCTGGCCCAATAACTGTCTATTGGCAGAGGTCAGCAGGGCAGGGTTATCATCGCCACTTTATAGATGGGGAAGTTGCAATCAGAGAGGAGTAAGAAAGTTGCCCTAGGTCATCCCTGAGTCAAAGGAAGAGCAGGAACTTGAACGCAGGATGCTCGGGGACCCTGTGTGGAGTAAGAGGAAGGAGGCTGCAGCAGGGCTGGGACAGCTGGGCCTGGGCTGCCAGCTTTATGGGCCCTATAAGTGATCGAGACATAGCAGGGCCCATCCCTGATCTAATGATCCCTGCTGTAATGAGGGGTCATGTCCCCTCCAGGGAAACTAGGCCCAGGGTGACTAGATAGTGACAGGTGACAAGTTTACGGCAGGCAGGACAGGGGTCCAGGCTGGGAGACAAGGCTGGGTGACCTTGGTAACACAAAGTAACCTGCCTTGTGTAACCTTGGGGTCAGAGATGATGGACAGAGCAGGAGCCACCCCCCTTGACTTCCCACGTCGCAAATTCTCGGTGGTACCCGTGATTAAGACGCATCCTTGAGGAAGCACCCATTCTTAACCTCCTCCCCCTCCCCATGCCTCAGAAGGAACACCACACAGGGGCATGGTTCTCCTACCCCAGCTCATTGGCCCAAAAGATCGCAGAGGCTGCGCTGATGGGAAGGGAGAGGATTACTTAGAAATCAGCTTCCTCTTCCCAAAGGGACTTTGAAGTGACTCTAAGGTCACCACTCAATAGCCCCTTAACCCCACCAAAGGTTTCTAAGTCTCTCTCCTGCCTGTAAGGGGGGCTGGCTTGGGGTTACAGGGACCCCTGAAGTAGACTTCATTCCCAGGAATGGGCTTCCTCCCCACTCAACTCCCCAGTCCTAAAAGATATATTTTTACAGCCTGTGAACACAAATCCACTCCACCAGAAAAGATCCCGGGGTGTGGAATCCCTCCCCTGACTGTCCAAGTCCCAGGCTGTTGATGAAATTCTAACGCAGCACAGACAATAGGACCCTAAGCCTGATGTGGATTCCCCGCCTCTCCTCTCTGGAGGATCAAAGCTGCTCCTTGAGGCTGTGTGATCCTGGGCCAGAAGGTGGGGGGTGGTCAGCCAGGACTCTAAGCAGGGAGGAAGCCCCTTTGCCCAGATAGTTCTGGAGGAGGCAATCCCTCCTCAGAGGTCTCTTGCCTAAGTTCAAAGGCCCGTGGGTGCTGAGAGGTTGGCAGAGGATGGGGAAGTGACTAGACCAGAAAACTGGGGCTTCCTGTTGAAGGAGGGGGCCCAGGCCCACCCAAGTCCATATTCCCCACTCAAGTCTGAGTGAGCTTCTCAAACTGCCACGGAAGTCCCCACCCCACGTGGGACACAGAGTACCTAGAGCCATGAAGGGGTCTATAGAGGTATTGTAGCAGGCGAGCCAAGTCCAGGAGAGGGAGCATCCTTCCTGAGACAAGAGGCAGCTTCCTCTCGTGGAGGCCCCAGCCCCATTTCCCTAAATGCTAGGGCCTCCTCCAAGGAAAGTTTTCTTTCCCTGAACTCCTCTGAAGATTCTGGCAGATGAGAAAAGGAGAGGTCCATTCAGACCCCAGTCTCTTCTCTTCCCATCTTATCTCTGCAGTCTGGGGTGTGTGTGTGTGTGCTCAACAGGACCAGCCCCTCTCCTCTGACGCCATTAGTTCCTCTCTCACTGAGCCTCTTTGCAATCCATTACTCAGTTCCGCCCCCACAGCATCCCCAGCGCTGGCCATCACATACACACTCGCACAGAAATTCATAGGTGTCCTCACTCTGTGTTAGAAGAACAGTCTTTGGGTTGTTTGTTTGTTTGTTTTTTTAATAAAATTCAAATATTTATTTGACTGCGCCGCGTCTTAGTTGCGGCATGTGGGATCTTTAGTTACGGCATGTGAGATCTAGTTCCCTGACTAGGGCTCGAACCCCAGCCCCCTGCATTGGGAGCACAGAGTCTTAGCCATTGGGCCACCGGGGCAGTACCTGGGTTGCTTAGAAATTAAGTTTGGAGCAGCCTGGGAGGGAAGAGAAAAAGAGATAAGACCCAGAGAATCAGCTGTCACTGCCTGAGAGAAAAAAGCAAGCCCTCTTTCTGGGGACACCGGATTCAAGAAACACCATCGCACATCCCTCAACTCCGTCATCCCTCCGACGCTATCTCCATTCCCCGAGCCTCCAGCCCCAGCGCATTCCAAGGCCCCCGCGGGCTGCTCCGGAGGCGAGAGGGCTGCGCAGCGGTCCACGCCAAAACGATCCAAGGCAGGAATCCGGGGTCCCCACCCTTGTGTGGATCGAGTATCTTGCGATGTCGCTACCCTGGTCCCAAACCAGAGACCAGGTGTGGGACGGGGGAGGAGCGAGGCAGGAGGGCGCCGCCTCTGCGCTGAAGGACGCGGGTGGGTGAGGGGCCCTCGCACACCGGTCGGAAGGTGACCAGGCGGTGGGGGTGGGTGCGGAGCGCAAGTGGGGGCGTGGAGGATTTTAGATCAGGGACAGGTGAGGGGAGGACCCGCCAGGGGGAGGAGCCGCTACCCGCGTCCTGCTGTCGGGGTTCCCTCCCGTCGCGGCTCCGCTATAAAACCTGGGTCGGCAGGACCGCGCACCCCCGGCGGCCTCCTCTGCGCGCGGTCCCCGGCTCGGCGGCGTCGCCACTCCTGCGCAGGATGCGGCTGCTGCCGGCGCTCCTAGTCCTCGCCGCCGCCCGGCCCTGGGCCCGCGCAGGTGAACGAGGGCTTCGGCCCCGGGACCCCTCGGTGGCCCTTCCGTGGCCCCTCGGCGCTCGGGCCCCGCGC